GCCATATTTTGTCACACGAGGCAGTCCCTGAAAGGCAGTTAATGGCAGTTAACAGCAATTAACGGTAGTTAAGACGGCAGTGAGAGTAAGGGCTCAATTGCTTCGATTGCAGAGTTTCAGGAGCTTATATGCATCAATTAAAGTCTGAGGGCTTAATAGCGATTCTGGAGTTAGTTCAGGGCCTTAAGTTATGGTTTTGCCTTCATTTTACGGTTTTTCTAACTTGTGATTGTACAATTCATTTTAAAGTTTTTCTAACTTGTGTTATATTAGTGCAATTATTAACCCTTTTTAACAGTAATTAGAGTTTAGAGTTGAAGAATACAAGAATGATCATTAATTTTACTATTAATGTCACAAATTATTTTAATTAAATAGTTACTTAAATAAAAATAGTTTTTATTTTTTTAAATATTGATTAATATAAAAAAAATGTAATAATTGAACCCTTGAGCTGCATGCCCTTAGGTATAGATTAGAAAAACCCTTCGTTTAATAGTAGATTTTGTTGCAGTTTTTGTTTTGTGGTTTTTCCCTCCTTATTGAAGGGTTTTTCACATCAATTTTGTGTTCTTTGCTACATATATTTTATATGGTGCTGTGACAAAAGTATACTTTAACAAAATCATAACACCCGTTAAGAGTGGGTATCAAACAAAATGTTACAAGCTAGCTAGCATATCTTAACAGACACATCAAGAACATTCTGTCCTTGCAAACAAAACCCTTCTTTTGTTTTCAATTTTTGGGATGAAAATCAAGAAGATTCCATTCTGACGCTTTGCAGGTTTGAAAGTCGTTTTCCGCATCCTCGGTGGTGCGCCCGCCTGGGCTCACCTCTGCTTTTTTCTTCTCCGCCAAGTCCTTCCCGTTTTCGCCTCATCTTCCTTTCTCTTAATATCGCCTTTTCTGGCTTCAATTTCAAAAACCCAAAAATGTCTACTGTGCTTTCTCCTTCCCAATGTCTAGCTCTGAATCTTCGACCAATCTTCTTATACACAATCATCCATTTGGCAGTTCATAGTTTCTATCTCTTGCTACTTTACTCATTGCGCTGGTTCTTGAAATCAATAGGTACCTCACCTCTGAAGAGTGAAGATCTAAGTGCTGAAGTATTAAAGCTTCTATTTGGGTGATCTGCATATTCAACAAATTACAGGATGGATTGCTGGATTTTGAAGGCGACTTATCTATTAAAAAACCCTCTTACTTAATCTTGCTATTCTTGCTTTGTGGTTTGTAGGGTTAACTTGCAGATTTGGGTACTGGTGTCTTGCAGAAATGATCATCAATTGCCATTATCCTTTTGTGGTTTTCAAGTCTGGTGCCTAAAGTGTGATGATTGTGGATCTAATTTTCAAATCGATTATACGGTTTAAGTGTTATGATGCTTTTGGTTGGCTTTGCCAAGCTTATCTTGGTTTGGAGAATTCTATTTCCTTTGTTTATGTCTTAGTTAGTACAGTAAAATGCAGAAATAATCTAAAAATAGTGCTATGTTATGTCACTGGTTTTATCTCTATTGTTGATTTGTTAAGAGGAGGGGATGATATAAGGAGAGATACTGATGCAATCAACGGGTGGGTAGTATGAAGTAGGTCATTGAAAGGGAAGTTGGTTGTGGGAGAAGTTCTTTCACGAGAAGTTGCTGGCTTTCCTCTCTTATGGATCTGCTTTTTCAAGCACCATCAGGGGGTATTGTTATTCAAGGATCTCCATCAAACCTCTCTGTCTTCTTTTTGGTGTTCCATTGCATGAGATAGCTGTTTCAAGCAGGTTGGCAGGAAGGGTTATCCTTGCTCCGAAGCTGTGAGTCCTCAGATCTGTCTCTTGCCTTTGTTCTTCATTGTTTGAAGAATGGAATAACGCCCAAGCTATTGAAGAGCTTCCTTGTTGGGGATGTGCTGCAAATTAAGGTGCTTGGAACTCTCCTTCCTCAAGTTATGCATTTGCTGGAGTGTTTTATTTTATGGTAACTTTGTTTCTAGTTTGTTTTCGCTTCTGTCGTTAATGTCTCCTTGTAAGACTTTGGTGTTGTTTTAATGTTAGTACTAACTTTGTTTTTCGGCCAACAGAAAAAAAAAACATTAATCAGATCCGTTCCTTTCCCATTGCAAAACATGTTCTTGTGAAGCAGAGAGTAGCATAGTATACACAATGATGGAATTCATTTTTGGCTGCAGGCATGGGATTATTCTGCCCTTGTGTAAAATGATTCAGCTAGTCTATCTTTATATCAGCGTGTATGTTTAGGCAATAGGGCAGGTGATTAGAAGATAAGTAGCTTCACCAAGCACAAGATGATTCTGATTCTGGTGTGATTTCTAATTGCAAAGAGATGGAAGAGAATTAGATAATTCAGGTTTGCTTTCTAGATAACTTTTGTGTGTCTTAGTTATAAAGCAATTGAATTTGTGCAAGTTCTTATTATAAAATTGACTTACCTGCTGAAAATTTTGATCATACAGTGTGTTATTGGAGGCCCTTAATTTTAATGAATTGGGAAGAAGTCTTGCATCTCAGATATGTTCCTTGAAGAAAAACTGTTACCGGTTAGTCTCAAAATCAATTTGGATAAGTTACCAAGTGAATCCATAAAGATATCCTTGGGTAGAATTATATATCTCTCAGAATTCATTTAAAAGGCACATATACGCCTTTCAATCCTCTTGTTCATAATTTTATATTCTTAAAAGTCTTATGAGAAGATTTTGTTTTTATTGCTTGGTTTTGAGAAACATATATGACAATTAGTGCAACTAAGCTTACTTGCCTGTTAATGTAGATGTTTTCTGTCCTTTAAGGAGGATTTGAGAAGCAAGTTGATGCTGGATATTTGCAACTTTTTTTTTTTTTTGGGATTGCATCTGCTGTTAATGGTAAGTTTTTCAGCCTGGGAGATAATTTCAATCATGGATTAATTTAACTTCAATTCAATAGGGAAACTAAGCAATTATTTGAATGCACTTGAGAAATTATTTCAATTGGTTATGCAGGACGAGTAACTCACGTTATGCATTGAGGGACATATAGACTGCAACAACAGGCAGCTTAAGAAGGGTTCCCTTTGGAATGTTTTAAGGTACTTTGACTACAGAGAATCATTGAGTAACAATTGTGAGCTTGGAGTTTTTTTTTTTTAATTGCTTTAGGTTTTAGGTATCGCAAAGAATTTGAGAAATAGTTGTTGTAATATTTTGTTAATAGTGAATTTTTTGCTGTCTTGTACGGTTGTTTTTCCCTCAACATCGGAGGGTTTGTCACATAAATTCTGTATTCTCTTCTATTTAATTTCCATGTTGTCTGACATTTTTTTGACTATTTTTGATCTGTACTCTGATTTATCATTATTTGGCTTGAAAAAGGGGTCTGGAATGGTCTAAATGAAAACATCAAAATTGATTGCCCTTTGTAACACATTAAATCCAAACCAGGACCACTCAGATTCTGTTCTTGGGCTAGCATCAGCTGCTGGTTCTTTTAAAGTAAGACATACTTGGAATCATTTATAAAGGTAGAATGGTCAATGCTGTTATGGTTTTCAAATTCCATACCCATAGTCCCCTCGATTGGATGACACTTGTTTACTGTGCAAGGGTGATGTGTAGAGTCCAGGGATCACTTCTCTTTTCCTTTTAACTATAGCTACACAAGCAGAGTTTGGCAAAGACATTTCTCACAAGGCATGGATACCATACTTTGCTTTGTGGGTAAATTTGTCACCACGGCTTTGCAGGAAACTGAAAGAGGGTCAGTTTATAATGCTCATGTTAAGCATGATTGGGCTTGGGCTGCGTCAATTCATCATATTTGGCAAGAAAGATACACAAGGTTTCATAAGAATTATTCCAGATCAGACTGAAGAAGTTTTCATTCCCCATTGTTCAAATAAATAAATAAATAAAAGTTGCTCTTTTTTTTTTTTTGAAAATAGGCAATGGAAGTTGCTCCTTTTTGAGTTGTGCCTGACAGTAGTAAGCTATTTCTTCCAAGCTGCGTGGATCAATAAAATTTACTACATTTTATAAAAGGAAAAGGAAAAATGATTGAAAGAGAGAAGGTGAGGAGAAGGATTAAAGAACAGAGAAAATTCGTGGAAGAGACGGTGAAGAGACGGTGAAGACTCGGGAAAAGTTGAGGCTGCTTTCA